AGGAAGGAAGGAAGGAAGGAAGGAAGGAAGGAAGGAAGGAAGGAAGGAAGGAAGGAAGGAAGGAAGGAAGGAAAAGCTTACACTCTATCAGAAATTTAACATTTGGACGAATGTCTCAGAAATCACCGCGTATTTTAAATCACTAATTTTATATCAAACTGACTTCTTAAATATGCTCTACCACCAATTATTCATCTAGAGAATAGAAAGCACCATAAGAAATTTACTTTTCACTTGATTAACACTTTGTAGTAAACTCGAATAATTCAAAACAGCTCTGTTAATTCCGGTTAAATTCACTCTCCACCTTCTAATAAGAGAAAAAGTTAAGTCACTAATAGAAAAGGTATTTTCAAAAAATAAACGTCAAAAATATTCCATTGTAAAAAAAAATATATATATATATTCCATTGTAACATTTGTAAGCAAACGTCACAAAACAGTATCAAACGTAATCATACAGAATTAGACACGCCAAATTTTTAACTCTTTTACTCGCCCCAGGCAAATTTCAGTTTGCAGTGAATACGCCCTACGGCCAAGCCTCTCTAGACATCTATTTTCATAAAAGGTAGAAAACGTTTGGACTGTGTTCCTCCCCCACTCCCAGCCCGTCATCTGTGGACTGATGTCACCCACCGAATACCAGCCACGCATTATCCAGGTGGGGCAGAGAAGCCGCGCCAATGAAGTTGACTTCAGTTTGATGGCAAAAGAGTAAGTGACAGCAATTTGCTGCAGTCCCCACTACATGGTGAATGTTACTAAACATATCAAGTGCGCGATTGACAGTGGAGAGGTGGGGGTGACTGTCGAGAGCCCGAAATGGCAGATAGTTACAAATATTTATCAGCTAGCCACCGAGGAGATCGTGGAATTCTAACCGGTCAATCTGGCGGTGACCTGACTGATCACCGAAGCTCGAAGGCTGGTGTGAAGACCCCTGACCCCTCTCCCGTGACTTCCCCTGAATCTTCTCCTCCCTAAGAGGAATTGCAATGTGCAGAAGCAGCTGGCGGAGCTGTGAGGACAGAGGGCCTGATGACTGAGCAGACGGAGACTGGAGCCATTCATTCCCTCTGCTGCCCCCTTTCCCCGGTTAGAAATAAGTTACCACAGGTAAGAGATGCTTGAACCAGAATTAAGGAAAAGAGAAGGAAAAAAGACACGTCCCAAGATGAGTTTCATTTATATAATGAAAATAAATTTTTACACAATCAACAGAAACACACCCAGTTTTTGTTTTTGTTTTTGTTTTTTTTGCGAAAAATATTTTTAAATAAATTTTTGTCTTTTTTTTACATTCTGATATACATATGTAACAAGGTTTATGGCACTGTAACCAGAATCAAATCTCCCCCCACCACCCCCAAAAAAATAAACAAAGGAAAAAGGCGGGAAGGAAAAGTAACTGGTTTTAATTCCTTTCTAGCTCCAAGCTGGCAAATGGGCACTGTGTGTCCTTCGGCTGCCAGCTCTAACTCGCTTGCACGCCCGAAACACCAGATTATTGTAAGAAGCCCGCGAAGGCATGTGGTAGAATGGTCGGTACCTTGCTATTTCAAAAAAAAAAAAATCTCTTAAACCCAGAGAGGGGAAAAAAAAATGTAATAATTCAGAGTAAAAACACACAAAATCAACAGTATCCGTTGTCTCTCTCGAGAACGTGAAGCATCTGAGACCATTTAGCCCTGATCCTCTCTCTGCAGCCGGGAACCCGACAGGGCTTGGTGTGGTCAGGTGTCCGCTCTCCGTGTGGACGGCCCGGGCGGATCGCAGGTCTTCGCGACTCAATGTCTTTTCTACTTACTTTTGGTTCTTTTTTCAATCGGTTTAAAGTGTAGTATCTTCGGTCTATGGTCCTGCACAGACTATTTCATCATAAACTCTACAAATAGCTTCCAAGGAAAAGGGGAAGAAAGGCCAGTTTTATCATACGTTTATTGTTGGCTTAAAAAAAAAAAAACGATTTCCTCAGCCTCCCTGATTTTTCAGTTCGTGGGAAGTAAATCTCAATGGGCATCAAAAGTTAAATTCTTCTCACACTTGTTAAAAATAAAAAAGTTTTTAAATGAGTTTGTTTCCATTCACAAACTTTACCCCATCTAAAAAAAAAAAAAGAAGAAGAAAAGAAAGAAAGAATCCGTTCTCCTTCCTCTTTGCCTCCGAATGGAGAACGAGAATCCTTCCCAGGCAGACGGCATCACACGACTGTCTCCACGCCCATCAGCTTTGGTGTAAGGATTCGCGGTGTCACACCGTTATTTAGGTCTTCCTCAAACTCTAGCAACTGCCCCATGAAGTTGAGGTTCGGAGAAATAATTGGTCGTTTGCCTTTGACAAATTTATAAGCGTCAGTCATGGTCATCCGAGTGTGCTTCATCAGGTAAGCGATGACGATGGTGGCCGAGCGAGACACCCCAGCCTGACAGTGGATGAGGAGGCCCTTCCCACACTGGTGAGCTTCCTCTGGAACACGGGAGAAAGGCAAGAGACAGAGAGAAGGAGAGAGGTTAACTTTGATCTGAACTTGACCACACCGTATTTTGTAGAGAAAGAAGAAATCAAAATGGTTTTAAACCCAAGTATCATTTACTAGTTAATGGCGTACGTTTATGTCACAACCTCCAGGCCAGCGAAAAGCAATTCTGGCGTGAATAAGAAGGCACATTTCTACATTTAAAGAGATGACCAGGTGAAGGAATCATTTGGAGCATCAGTTTGCTTCACAGATGCTGAGGGCTGACTGAAGCTAGAGCCACAGCACAACGAACTTCCATGTGAAGCGAGCTACTGATTAAATAGACTCTTCTGATTAAGAATTATATTTCCAATTGCAAGACTGTGTGACTTGCCAAAGCTAGAGTTATTAATAATGTCTTGCCTATCTGTGATAGAAGAAAAAAAAAAAAAAACAGCTCTTTCTTTATGCTACGGAATCGCTCTGTACAGGAACTAGTATTGAATGAATAAGAATTTCAGTCTGAGTCAACTCTGACCGAGGTTAAAGGAACAAAACTCAACTAGAAAGTTACTATGTTCAGCTTCTTACCAGAACACCCTATCGTTGCAAAGTTAGCTGAAGACCTGTAGTACCCAGGCGTAGGGTATCACCTCCATCTGAACTGCCCAACCCCCCTGCGACCGTGTGTGCCATTCCCACTGGGCAATGAGAAGGATGGAGGGATTCTGACAAGCGCTCCGAATCCAGAGCAACTGAAAGACGCATCATTTTATAAGTTTTCAGCTATATTAAAAGCTCAAGAGAAGAGCTCGTGGGCCCTGCCCAAACGGATTGTTAATAATACTTCTCAACTAGAAGGCGCCCCCCGACAGGAACACCCCCTATTGGATGGAGAGTAAGGAAGAGACCAGGAGAAGGAGAGTGAACTACTTCTTTGGGCTGCCTACCGGTGGGCCAGGAAAAACAAACCTCATGCAAATCCTCATCTTAAAAATCTACGGATGACGCTTACTGCTCGCAGAGCACAGTGGCTTTTATAAATATCTTCCTTTTTCAATTTCTTGTCTTCGGCACACACAAGTTAACCACTGCCACCCCAAGGCTGAGAGGCATGGTGTTGAGAAGATGAGCTGCAAAATGCTAGTCTAGCTTTGACCGCTGGTTGCAGTACAGGCTGGATGAGCGACCTTGTGTGTGTCACGTGACTCTCCTAAATCCCTGTCTGAATAGTGAGAATCATACTAACTAGCCAGGCTCAGGGAACATGGGAATACTATCGCTTGATTCGGAAATAAACAAACGGGCATTGTTATTAAACACTAAAACTAGATTCTGCTTGGTTTATATTAGACTCTTAGTGAATGTTTTTATGTGTATAAAACCTGCTGTGTTTTCCCTAAAGCAAGACGTTAAGATTTTAGTTTATTCAGTGATTTAACAATGAAAAAAAAAATTGTGCAGACTGTGACACTGAATTGTTTTCCGGGTTAAATGCCATTTGTTATTTGTTTTCTTTTCCATCTAAAAAAAGCAGGTTAGCCCGAATAACCTATAAAGAATGTGGGTGCTTTAATTGAAATCCTCTTAAAACAAGCATATCGTATGCTACTCGCTAAATGGAAAATTTCCTAACTTCCCCCAACTGGCATTAAGTCAGAGATATTGTAACCATAAACAGCTATGTACCAACCAGGAAGTTCCTCATCTACTTGGTGACAAATATTTCTTCCTCGGGGCTCAAGAATGTGAGGTACCTTTGCACCCACAAATGTCTCCAAACACTCCCTGCAGCATCCTGTAGAAAGGCCCCTGGCCTTAGAGGTGAGGGCCCTGGGTTCTGGTCCCTTCTCTGGCACTAAAATCCCTATGACCTTGGAGAAGTCACTTTACTTGTCTGAGTTCAGTGACCACTCAGACTTTCCTTCCAGACAGAATATTCCATAGCTGTGCATTGAAGGCGCATTTAGCAAGGAAGACAGCTGGCCAAAGTGACCTGAGCTGCCAACTCGACAGCAAACCCACCAGCCCCATGGCTGTTAAACCCAAGCATCTTTTTTTTTTTTCTAATGAAAGGGCACCAAACACGAGTGCATTGTCCCTGGGACAGAGGCCAGCAGCAACTTGCTGCAATATTTGGGAAAAGTACTGGGTCACCCTTTGTGGTAATAACGGTCGGAGTCATTTAAAAAAAAAACTGTGGCGTCCCTGCTAGGTGCCAGGTGGTCCCCAAAGGAAAATTTGAGCCTTACAACAGCCTGAGGCTACAGAAGCAGCAAAATGTTAAAGTTACAGTTAGGGTCGGGCTGGCTGCTGCCTCCTTCTGGAGACCAAAGCCCGCCGACGGTGGCATGTTCCTCCGTGGGAACTACTCGGTCTACACGATCCGATGTGTCCCGCTTCGGCGAGTCTGGGGTAAGCTCCCCAAGGAAACTCATACTCACAACCCTGCCCGTTGCTCCTGGAAGCTAAAGAAACGAGACTGGGCAGGTGGAGGGAAAAACGAGTCACCCCGCCTGCTCTCTCCGCTCTGTGCCGCGTGAAGCTGCCCGACACGATCGCGTCTGAGCGGAAAAGATGCTTCAGAAGCAGCCCTCCCGCGATGCGACCTGTGCCTCGGCCTCACGTGACGAGGAGGCCGTACTGACTGCAGACTCATCGGACTCGCGGTGGGGCGGCGGGCGCGTCCGGAGGTGGGGCTACGGTCACACTGTTTTATTTCCTGCAGAGGCCCCAGGGGCGGTGGCGGACCGGAAAGCGCCAGCCCGGCTCTCTGGCCAGTTCTTTACCCTCTGTCGACCCTTTTACACACCACACCGCTGCCACCCCCGACCGCCTTCTCACTGAGAACTCCAGGGATGCGCATCTCTAGCTAGAAGGAGGCCAACCCAACGCCACGCCTGTCCTCCGGTGTCTGTCCTGATGGGCTCCGGTACACTCGGTGGGTCACGACTTAGCAGGAGACTCGGGCCGCAGCAGGCCGCAGAGCCCGAAAACCTCCCGAGCAGCTCTCTCTGAACCCCAGACATTAACCTTGACCTTGACATCAAAGCCAGAGCCGAAGGGGAAGGGAGGCGGAAGGGAACCCCGCGTGGGAGACAGTTACCAATGAACTCGAAGGCCTCCTCGAAGTACTGGCGCAGGTTCTGCTTGTTGCTGTCGGTGGCCGGCAGCCGCTTGTAGCTGAACAGGCCTTTCTCGTAGTGGAAGAGGGGCAGGTGCGTGGTGACGTTGATGACGTAGCCGATGTTCAGCCGCTGCATGGCGTCCAGGTCCTGGGCGTCCTGCTCGTTGCCGAGATACAGGAAGGGCAGGATGGGCGTGAGCTCGGCGCTCTCGATGTCGGGGGTGGCCGCGGCGGGCTGAGGTAGCGGGCTGGGGGCCGCCGCCGCGCCGCCCCCCGCCTCCCTGCACTCCTGCAGGTGGAGGGAGTTGTCACAGAGGTTTTCATGGTTCTGCTTGAAACTGCTGAGTCCGCCTGCAACGAGAGCACAGCGAGCGAAATGACGACGCCTGCCCCTCCCGGGCTGGCGGCACGTGCCCTTTGCCCCCCGAGAATGTGGGTGTCGTTGCCGATGCCGCTTTAGACATGTAATATATATTAATTATTCTTATTCTTGTTCTTACATGAAATCAAAATAAAAACGAAAGCCCGTGTGGGGACCCGGGACGAGCCTCGGAGGCTGTCGCTGCGTGCGGGACTTGGCGAATGGGATCTTCGTACAAACTGGGGCACGTTCCCCCGGAAAGCGTCTGTGTGGCATCAGGCAATTTCATCAGCAGCAAATCTGATCTGCCTCAGAGAGCCACATGCTTGGTGGCCTACATAGGACCGTGTGCCCTGGGAGCCGAGGAAGGCGCAGATGCCCTCCTCGGGCGGGGAGCTTCTGCCAGCATCTCGGCCAGGCAGGGGTGTGCCCTGCACCTTTAACGAGCTCAGCTCACCCGAATGACAGCTGCGCTCCCAACACAGCAGAGCGGCGAGGAGCCGGGTCTTGGAAGAACCAGGTCACCCTATGCCACCACTTCCGGGCGAAGTTAATTGCTCACTCTGTGCCTCAGTTTCCCCACCTGTAACATGAGGGTCGCGGCCTCTACCCCGTGACTGTGATTGGGAGTCGGGAGCGAATGAAGACACGAAAGGTTCTCAGCACATTGCCTGGGGCACAGTGTCACTCGGCAAGGATTTGCTATTTTTGTTAAGATTGTTTATGTAACGGTCCACAGGTGAAAGCAGTAGACACGCTTGGAAAAGACAAAAATGCATCCATTTCTGACTTTCAGGAAGGCACATGAAATCGCAGCCTCCTTGCCGAGGCCTGTGCAGACATAAAGAAGCAGTAGACGCGCTTGGAAAAGACAAAAATGCTTCAATTTCTGACTTTCAGGAAGGCACAACCTGAGAGCAGCCCAGATCCTCGCAGCCTCCTTGCCGAGGCCTGTGCAGACATAAACTCATCGGAAACCTCGAATGGACCCCTGAATACACACCTCCAAGCTTAAGGCTCTGCTCTGCCTCCTAAACATAATTATGGGTCTAGTGTAAAAAGAAAACCTTAAAATTGCACACGTTCCCTCATGTTTAAAATGCAAACCTCGCCATCAGCCAGCACAGGGTCACTTCTGAGAACGTATCTGAAGGAGATCATCTAACTGAAGATATTCTGCTAGACGTGTACAGACGTTCGCTGCAACATTATCCGTTTTACAGGAAAGGTCGCGTTCAAAAGAAATTCAGAGAAGACTTAATTTAGTCAGACAATGAAATATTACATAACCATCGAAGTTGCAAGAAAGCATGAAAACAAAGAAAACGTTTCCGTTAAATATTCAACGAAAAGGTCAACTAAAAAACCTTCGCCATACATGTGATCAAGAGCTGAAGGACCATGTTTGCGTTAGGAAATTTATTTTATGGATTTTGTTTAAATTTTTCCTTTAATATCGGTTAGATGCATCACACACAAGGATAAACTCGAGGGATTATTATGAGGGTCCAATTATACAAAATAAAATAAAGGGCCACGAACTCTGAGTTGACATTATTCACCGAATTAGCGCTAATTCGCATCAAACAGAAATACACACTCTCTTGAAAACAAGGGAAGTTGGAGACCTCCTCCTCAGAACACGACGTTTACCTCCTCAGATGTATGCCTGACACTGGTCTCGACACTTTCAGAAGATAAGACAGAAAACGAAAGCGTGAACAGGATATGGCTGTGCCGAAGCGAGGGCAGGAAGTCCATTTGCCCTCTAGATTCTGAACTTAACGAATGTCCTTCTCTATTTTGAGTCTCATCTTTAGTGACCATGATGGGAAGCTCCAGACTGGAACCTAGACGGTCAGGGCTATTCACGGCCGGTGCACGCCGAGCTGGGCACGTCAA